TAAAGAAAAATAAAACTTTTAAATTGCAACAACTCATCGTAAGCGTAGTAATAGAATTTAGTAAGTGATTTATTTTGTTTGTGTGCCTATTTGCTCCTGTCGTTTAATCATTTCGACTTGATTAAATAGTAAGTTTTGAAATAATTATAAAGTAAAAATTTTCGATAGCAACCCCATAGTAATGGATAATATATTTGAATATATTGGATTAGCATCTGAATTCCCGCTGTTTCGACAAAAGTTTAAAGTTTGGAATTATTCCCTTTTCTATGTCAGTTTATTTGTCGTTTGACAAGAATTTTTGCTAAAAAAGTAGGTTTAATTGCTTTTTATCGTGCTCATCGGGATAGCCAGAATGAGGCATGCCTTTAACTCAAAATTGTCATTTTTAAACTTGTCACACCAATTACGAGGACTTTTCGAGTTATAGCATCCTCAACATGCGTCACGAGCAGCTTCTGTGGCCTTAAAACATTTGCCTAAAAAGCCCTAACTTTTGACATTTCATTTTAATGACCTGAAAATTAACAAATTTTAACTAGAACAAAAAGAAGTAAAACATAGAGTCCAGTAGAACAACACGTCATCTTTAAAATGATCTGAAACATTACGTCAAAAGCATTTAATTATACGTGGAAAAAGTAAATTTTTTTTAAAGAACATCGGCGGGAACTTAATTGACCATCCAATATTTGAAAATGTTTCTCTTAATGCGTCACGAGCAGCTTCTGTGGCCTTAAAACATTGATTAAAATAATTGCCGAAAAAGCATTAACTTTTGACATTCCATTTTAGTGACAAGAAAATTAACAAATTTTAAATAGAACAAAAACAAGTAAAACATAGATTCCTGTAGAACAACACATCATCTTCTGATCTGCAACATTACGTCAGAAACATTTAATTACACGTGGAAAAAATAAATTTTTTTGATGAAAAACCACGGGAACTAAATTGACAATTCAATATTTAAAAATACTTTCCCTTATTCGAAAAGAATTTTTATATATATCTAATAAAAATGCAAAATTCAATACATGGAATTATGCGATGTAATTATTCATAAAGGGAAATATAAAACATTATGAACTTGGAAGTTTTAAAAAACACTATTTTTATGAACATAATTGGAAAAGTACTATTTTGTTTAAGAGTTACACTTCTATTGAATTTTAAAATAATTAAGTAATAACTAATAGGATTAGCCTGATTTAAAAACTTAATTAGCTTCAAAAAATATAATATATATAAATAGGAAATAACCGTCGACATGTTTCAAGCACTTAATAGGCGTCCATTTTATGGCCTGGTAGACTTGAATGAGAAGAAACAAAACGGATTTGAAATGTAAAACGAAAGGTTGCTAGCGAAAAATGGAAAAATAAAGCCGAGAAACAAAACTAAAAAGAACCACAGCAGCTGAGATAGAGGAAAAAGGGAAAAGTTGAAAAACAGCACAAGAAAAATCACAGTGGCCGAGAGGGGCAAATCAGGATAAAATGCACTTCCGTCCGCTATGGCGAAGTAGTGAGGAACTAATGTTAACTAATTAACATTAAGTATTCATATGAGTAAAACAAGATTCCAGGGCATCAAGATGAATTGATATGGTTGAGGTGAAATAATTTTGGCATTCTCGATATTAAATTTATGCCAAAGATTCCAACAATGTGCAGAAATTGATCATTTCTCGTATTATTGATAACGGATATATCCACCATGTTCCTTAAATCTAATTTTCTTTTATTTAAAATTATTTCTGGTGTCAAATTATTTGAAATTATATGGTGTCAAAATTATTTCCATTCCGTCACATTAGCTCATCTTGATGCCTTGTACCATCACTCCGTAGCGCACGGGAGTGAATTTTACCCTGATTCGCCCCTCTCGGCCACTGTAGTTTTGCTTGTTCTATTTTTAATCTTTTTTTTCGGCTACTTTGATTTCTTTCTAGTTTTGTTTCTTACCTTTATTTTTCTATTTTAAGTAGGCAACTTTTCGTTTTACATTTCAAATCTCGTTTGTTTCCTCTCATTCACGTTTGGCAAGTGTTGAAAATAGGCACCTATTTTTGAGCGCTTAAAACATGTCGACTATTATTTCGTATTTATTTTTGAAACTAACGAAGTTTTTAATCAGGAAATATCTTACTGCTTCACTTTCTTGGAATCATTTCTTTAATTAACTAATATGTTTGTTTGCATTAATGCCTGGTAGTTTATACGTTATAATTGAATAGTGTTATAAATTATGTATTTCCTTGCTAAATAGATTTAATTCTCAGACTATGATTAATTATTTATATCATCCAAATAAATGATACTCATACTGCCGAAAGAAAAAACTAAAAACTATGTATACTATTAGGAAAGTTACATAGAATATTGTACTGCAATTTTTAGTTTAATGGTAATATTTTATTACAATCATTGCTTCTCTTCTTAAAATGATGCGTGCGGAATTTAAATTTTTATCATAATGATTGTTTCAATATAAATAATATGATATTAAAATTCAATGTAATTATTTAAACATAAAATAGGCTTTAAGTTTTCCTATTTTTGTATTTTTTCTATTTCTCTATAATTTTTATTTCTACTAATTAATTTTATACTTGATGTTTACAAATTATGAAAACAAGCTAATCAATAACAATAATTAAATAATGATAAACCACATTTTCGAATTCGTTAGGAAATCGGGTTTTAGTAAAAACACCATGATTTCTTTGTTTGCAATAAGTTGTTTCTGTGTATAGTGGAAACTAAAGTACTAAAAAGTACTGAAGCACTGTATGGAAAAATATTAAGGAACTATCTGATTTAAGAATGTCACAATTAAAAAATTATGAATTTAAGCATCAAATCATTATATTACCTCAAGATTTTAAACTAAATTTGTAGCTTTTGACCTCATATTTCGCATTTAAAGTATATGCGTTGAATTATGCAATTCAGAAAGTAGTTTATTGTAAGTATTTTGTATTTATTCATTGTACAATTAGTCGATCTTTCTTGACGAACATATCAATTTACCATTAATGTAAACTAATTAATAAATGGGAAATAGTTATATGTTTCAGATGTGAAAAATATAATTTAACTGGAGCAAATTGTTTTAAAAACTTTTGAGAAGTTTCTAATTTTTATATAAAAAACACATTAAAAAGTCTACATAAATGCAAAAGAAAAACATTTTTATTAAAAATTACAACTAACATTTCTGCAAGTTGCATTGTGTAACAAAACATATCACATTTTAATATACTACATACGCACACAAAAATGATCACAAATAAGTTAATTTACAAAGTTTTTTCAGGATTTAAATTAACAAGTGTGTAATCAGAATTTTTCATTGACGTTCTTTATTTGTAATCTTTTGGAATGAAATGAAAACTTTTATTCTTAATACAAACAAATTTTTTATGTATTTGATTATTAATAAGCTTGCTATATACATATTATACGAAATTTACTGTACCAAATAAATTAAGCTACACATATTGCAATCACTATTGATGCCGAATACTTTTTTGAAAAATGATATAACGAAATGAACGATATCACTATATATTTTTAGAAAAATATGTGAATAAGAAAACTGAATAAAAATTTTCGAGTAAATTGAAAAAACAAACAAACACAAACCTTAGTTTATACAATTTACTTTTTTCTCTCATTAATTCATTTGAAATTTTTTGCATAAAACTAGTATTGTTTTAAAGTTTTTACTTGTTTTTTGATAGAAATATCTAAATCAAACTTTATAATTCAGATAAAAGTCAAATCTTTGGAGTCATAATAAATTTAATATACACTGTGTAAAAGCATGATAAAATATGTATGAAAAATATAGATTACATTTATAAAATAAGCAAAGTATATAATTCATTTTGGTTTTGATTAATTTAATTAAACATTTAAGGCAATTTAACGTAATTTATTAAGTTTTTTGTACGCTATTCATCATTTTATTAACGTTATTTTATTAAAAGCTATTTTATTTATCTGAATCTATAGTTATATAAATCTAAATACTATTACATACTATACAAATATTACTATACAAATTTAAAGTTTAAATAAGTGAATTCAATTTGTTATAAAATTTAAAAAAATAGGATATTGAAGGTATTTGTAAACTTTTTTTTTAAATATTGATTATTTTTATAAAAGAAATATACCACTTGTTTTGCATTAATTGTACAAATTAATTGTAATTGTACAATCAACAATTACAAAAGTATATTGCACAATTAATTGTAATTTCATTTTTTTATCAATTCATTATTTAAGCAATTAAAGGTATAATTTGAATAAATTTTAATACAAAATTTCTAAATATAAGGAACGAATTTCGGTATTATCGTCATTAGTAAAATTGTTTACATTTTAGTATTAAAATGCATACTAAAAGTTTCCAAGTAATGCTTTTAAACTGATTCAAAATCTACTATTTTTATCACTATTTGTAATCAGACGTAAAGAACTTTATTAACTGTAAACAAAAATCGCACATTATTTTACCAAAACTTAAACTAAGCTCAAAAGAGTTTTAAATTGGTAAAAAGGAATCATTATGATGGTACATTCAACCATTTATGACGTTCAAATTTATTGCTATCTTTGTTAAGTGTTTAGTTTAACCATTTTAACAATTTTTTTTTGTATACACCATCGTACAATTTGCTTATATATTAATAGGGTTTAATTGGTTTTCGTAATATAACAACATGGTTTATTTCCTAGTTCAAAATAATTGAAAACAATAAAATAATACAATAACAAAATTGCATAAAATTACATATTTACATGTACAACTTTTTTAGTAATTTGGTTGAGTAATTTATAAAGTGTCAAGGCAAAATATGATTTTTTATTAACATTATTTATGGAATTTCTTTTAAAATTAATAAAGCGTCAACAGTAATCACATTTAATTAATTGAATGTTAAAAACGAAAGATAATTTAAAGTGTAATTTTGATTTTTCAATGTTAGTTTTCATACTTCTTTACTTTAAATTATGTATTAGTGTAATGTATGAATAAATGTTTTTGGTGTTCTCATTTCAATAAATATTTTTTTTTAATATTAAAAACTTGAAAACCTTCAAATTAAATTCCTTATAATGAAGATTCCTAAGTGCACACTTGTCATTATTGTTGGCCATTTAAAATTCTAAATTAATTAAACATATCGCTGCCTTGGCGCTGATTGTTGCGGGTATAGATGCTGTTGTGGTGCTACAGCTTGTTGTTGTTGGTGTGCGTATGCTCTTTGTGCTTGTAAAGCCTGCGCTTGATGTGCTTGTTGCTGTTGAGCACCATAACCATATTGAACTGGTTGTGCTTGTTGAGCTTGTTGAGCTTGAACAGCCCTGTATGCTTGTTGCTGTTGTTGCTGGTAGCTTGGTCTAGGTTGAGGTGCATAAGCTTGGTGAGGTGCTGGTTGAGGTGCATATGCTGCGGGTTGAGGTCGGTGTGCTGGTGGCTGAGGTCTAGGTTGTTGATACACAGCTGGTTGAGGTCTAGGAGCATGTTGTTGGTAAGATGCTGGTTGAGGGGATTGCTCTCTGTAGGCAGGTCCTAAACCGTAAGTGGCTGCCGGTGGCTGGTGTTGGTCTCGGTGACCCCCTTGTGTCTCTTGGGGAGGGACGAAAGGATCTCCAACAGCGTAGTTTTCAGGGTAATATCTTTGGGCATAGACGACAGTGTTGTTTGGTCCTTTTTGTTCGAGTTCCTAAAATTAAGGAAAATGATAATTTTAAACAGGTATTAAAATAATTTTAATGATTTGAGGAATCGCTAATGTAATGAATGTCTGCCCTATTTATTTGTCTTGACACTTGAATTAGTCTTTAAATCCTGATAACAATTAAAACGAAATGGTAATTTTTAAATAATTTTTTTTAATAAAGTCTTCGGTTATGTTATCTACTGAATACAGCCATATGATTCTTAACGAGCAAGCAAAGGAATGGGTGTATTGGGTGGAGATTTTAATGACACAAAAACTGGAATCTGCTATATTGAGCTAAACGTAAACGACATCACTTTCTACGAATAAGGAAATTAAAAGTATTATGAATCAAGTTTAATACGAAAAAATAAAGGAATAAACCAAAAGGAAGGAGAAATTAATAGGATACATCGGGAGTAACTTTTAAGAGAACAAGCATAGGACAAAGTCCAATTCATGGAAGACCGAAAGCAATAATGTTACAGAGGAACATGTTACTAACACCACAATCCTTATTATTTCTAAGGTATACAATTACTACTTTTATTAATCAGGTTTGTCACCTTATATGTTAAGTTATTTATGTTAAGCTCCTCGATAAGTTTAATAATGTTATAGAGGAATATGCTTCGTGACATTTTTAAAACAACCAAAAAAAATATGTCTTGTTAGAAGCTCGTTTTTTTTGTAGTAGAATCGATTTTTTTTAACCAAATTTACTATATTACTACCATGTTTCTATTTTTAAATTATGATGAGGTTCCTTACTTTGTTGAGATAGTCATTGACGAAGAAGAACTTGTTGGCATTTGAGCAGATGCTTTGATCTTCTGGGACGCAGTTAAGATGAACTTGATGGAAAACGGTACCTGCTGGACACATCATTGAATGTTTTTGACCTGATACGCAGTAATGGAAGGCTTGGCAACCTACGTCACTGTCTGCGTAATAACCATCTTTGTTACTGCATTCGAATTTTGATTTTTCTAAAAGCAATTGGAGAGGGTGTGGGCCTTCTTCTTTTTCTTCCTCATCCTGTTTGTGAAAGAAAAATATCATTTGAGTTAGTTTAAATATTGTGTTGACATCATTATTGTTCGTATCATTATTTTTATTTTAAGGAATTGATAAGTTATAACACCAAAACATATTTTGTCGCAAATCAATTTTTACGGCGTTTAAGTTTTATTACTTTAGTTATTAAAAATTATTTCAGTCTAATTTTATCATTAAATTTTATTATTTTTATCAAAAAGTTTTATTATTACAAGAAGAACTAGCTCCGGCTTGCAGGGTTCGCTAACTCTTTAATAATTTCGCTAATTCTTGTCACTAACTCTTTGATAATATTTAAAGAATTTTAAATCAGATAAGAATCCTCTACTTTAATTCAACTGGCTTTATTATTATTTTTTAATGAGATGATGAACTGTAGCAATTTATCGTTGAAGTTCATTCCGTTTTAAAAACATAATTTGAATTTATTTTAATTTATAAAAAATATATTTTAGTAACCTAATTTACAAAATTTAAAGTTTAATAGCACCAAATTAATTTAGAAAAATCATAAGGTGCATTTTTTTTATTTTTTAATTATAGGCTGTAATAGTTTAGTGACTATAATAATCCATTAGTTATGTTTGTTTTTAGCTATTCTTGTGTGATGACTAATCAAAAGTCATATTTCTGAAAAACGTGATGTGCATCTTAATTCGTGGGCTATAAACACATTTATGAAAAAAAACCATATTCAGCTATTTAATATATAAAATCTGTCGGATGAATCTAAATATAACTAAAGATTTAAATAAATTAATTGCATAAGCTTTCTTTCAGCAGAAATGTAGGAATGTAGTATACCACTGAATGTAACAAACACGCGGAAGAATACTGCAAGAGTTCGTTGATCTATTCAGTGTGTTTTAATGTGCAACAAAGCTAAACACAGGTTTTATGGGGCCCATGAGATATTTTATTACGGGCTCATTATTTGAAACACAAAAAGTCTTATGATCACATAATTGTAAGATATTTGGTAAAGCTTCTTTGCAAAGTGTCATTCACACTTTGATCTTTGGGATACCTATTTTCATAAAGATACTGAAAGATCTATTAAGTTTCATTAGGCCCATGATTTAAAGAGCAAAAAGTCTTATGGTCACATAATTGTGAGATATTTGGTAAAGCTTCTTTGCAAAGTGCAGTTTACACTTTGATCTTTTGGATACCTATTTTCATAAAGATACTTAAGTATTATAATTTTCATAGCTCCTTACAGCTTATTTCTGTTGTAAATCTAATTGTATTAAATTGGTTTATAATATTTATTTTATATAAAATGAATTCTCTACAATTAAAAACTACTTAAAAACACTTCTTAAAAAGTCGGGGCCCTGCGCTGCAAGAATTCCGGATCAAATTACAATAATACTGGTGCTCAGGGTGCAGGTTCTTTTTACCGTAAAATCCATTTTCATCAGAGCTCAAAACATCTGATGCACCGTAACTTTTATAGCAATTATCACCGAAAATCTATGAATTAAATTAATTTAATAAATATTACTGTAAAAATTACAGTGTAATATTTTATGGTAAAAAGGGATCTTAACGCAAATATGGATTTTTCGGTAAATATAGATTTTACGGTTAAATGATTTTTATCGATGATGCACAAAACGTGCCGATGCTTTATACCGTAATTTGATATGAAATTTTTTACAGTGTGGGTAATTGTTCATGTATCACCCTTTCTGAATACGACTTTGATCTATGGAATATATTTGATAAAAAATTTTAAATTCATACTATATCCACGGAATGTGATTTAACAATATTCGATATAACTCATGATTAAAACGGAACAGTCATTTCACAATGATTATGAATGACTCAAAATCAATGTTAAATGGATGTTCCGTCTTATTTATTGTAAATCGTTTTCGGCTCGCCGTTTTAAAAATAAAAGTTTTCATTACAGAACAGAACAATTCATCAAGTTATCTAACAAGCAAGATGAAAAACGCCTTTCACTTTCTCAAATTCATTCTTCATTCAAACGAGTCCTGAAGCTCTCACTTAGGAATTTCAATTTACATTTCCCATGTTTAGAAACTCATTAAAAAAACGAGTGCGACAAATTGTTCCATGATCCATCAGTCGATGTTGACTGCCTGTCTTTTCACACTGTGCGACTAGACATGTGAAGAACATAATCGTAATAAATCTTAACGCACAATAGAGATCAATTTCCTGTACTTATTATCGTTTGAACAATGTAACTCACAGCAAAAGATCTGGTTTATCAGATTGTGGCGACCCCAATTTCTAATTTTTTCCCTTTACAAATCGGTTTACGTCAAGGGATGAGGGGACACCCACTTTCTTTTCCTTCATGGTTGAACAGATTATTTTCCAGGTAGAATTTAAGAAAAAGAAAATGGCAACTTTCGATTGTCTCGTAAGCTTGACTCTTGACTTGGCACGACATGTGGGTCACTCGCACCACAGAAAAAGGAATTACCTTTTTGTTCCGCGTTTAGATTATGCACCATTCTAGTCTCATTATTGAAAATTAACTGCTTATTTCATTCCCGTGTTACTGGTTTAATACGGATGGAATTTATTTCCACTAAATGCGTGCTGCTTAGTTTAATATACAGAGTTTTCTAAAAGGAACAGCTGGCTGAAAGAATGGAATTTAAATTGGAATTATGACCTGATTTAGAGTTTTTTTTTGTGCTTCATTTAAAATATCAAAAATCTCACAATAAAAATAGAGTTAATTTGAAAAGTGATAGTGCGAATAATAAGGCCTGCTGAAATGAAAACGTGATTTTGAAGTTAGAATTTATTTTTAGTTTTCCCCTTTTTTTTCTTCATCGCATTAAAATGTTAGCTTCAATGAGGATTATATTTTTTTTATTTCTAAATGTATAATAATTTTCATAAATTACACTCTAGACGTAAATAACTATCAAGAATTTAGAGTGGAACAAATCTACAAATTTAACGTTTGAATTTTATGGTCAAACTTCATGTTCAAATTTATTCTGTTTTAAAACTTAACGTTGACTTCTTTTTTTTAAAACTTAACGTTTTAATTCTGTTCTGAAATCCACTGTTTGAATATTTTTCATCACATTTTGAGTTTAAATTACGTTCTAGCAAATGAAGTTTAAATTTCGCACTGTAGCTTCTAAGACTCAAAGTTTGAATTCGGTACTTTTTAAGGAAATTTATATTTCTAAGTAGTAAATGTTGACATAAATAAATCACGGATATTATGAAATTGTATTATTTAATAAAGTAAGAACGATGTTCAAAATGTAATGCTTTTGGTAGGAATAGGTTTTAAAATTTATATTCTCAGAACAGAAGAACAGAATTTTGTTTTCATAGCAAGTCAAAACAAATTTTTGAGTTCTGCTATTTTTTGTTGTTGATATTTTGACGTCTAAGTAGTAAGTATTAGAAACAGATATTTTTTTTTGTTTTAAACTATTAAAAATTGTTTGGTATTAAAAAGAAATTTCTTCCATATGCTTAATAACTTATTAAAAATATTGAAATATAATTTGTGTTGTAATTATAAATCTTACTGGTGCAGATGCATGTTGTCTGGTAGGTGCTGGCCTAGCCGGTTGCGCAGGGTAGTGTTGAGGTTGTTGTTGAGGGTGATAGGCTTGAGGTTGCTGATGCTGAGGTTGTTGCTGCTGCCTGTAAGGTGCAGCCCCGGCATAATTACCTCCGTATGCTTCATAGGACGCTTGCCTTTTTTGCTGTAGTTGAAGAAACATAATTATTAGAAAACGTTTTAGTGGTAATAATTATAAATTTAATTGTATATTAAATTGCTTTTTTTGCTGTAGTTGAAGAAACAGACTTATTAGAAAACTTTTTAGTGGCAATAATTATAAATTTAATAGTATATTAAAATGTGGACGCTTGCCTTTTTTGCTGTAGTTGAGGAAACAAAATTATTAGAAAACTTTTAGTGACAATAATTATGAATTTAATAGTATATTAAAATGCGGACACTTGCTTTTTATGCTGTAGTTGAAGGAACAGAATTATTAAAAAGTTTTTAGTGGCAATAATGAACAATAATGAATGTGAGTGACAATAATGAATAATTTAATAGTACATTAAAATGCGGACGCTTGCCTTTTCTGCTGTAGTTGAAGGAACAGAATTATTAGAAAACTTTTAAGTGGTAATAATTGTACATTTAATAGTATATTAAAATGCGGAATAAAAATAAGACTAATTATTCATTTAAAAATATTTTTAAATTAAATATTTAATGAATCACTCTTATTTTATAAGAACTTACTTAAAAAAAAAATTACTTACTCTTTCACTTGCTGCAGACAGACCTGGAAAAAAGATAAAACGTAATTAATACAAACCTAATTGCTTGATTAGTGTTTAATTATACTCAATTTATTATACTTATCATTTGAATGTTCAAAAAATGTTACATACCCACAGCTAAAAGGAAAAATGCTATCGTAGTGATCAACCTCATCTTGAGTTTAAATATTCTGAAATATTAAAAAAAAAAAATAAAAATTAGTTTTTATGAAAAATGGCGGTTTTAATGGATTAGATTGAGTAGATTAGATTGTATATAAATCTTAATTGTTCCATACACGTAAAATCTTGAAATTTAATGTGTGTTTTAGAATTTTTTTATAAATAAAAAGTTTTTTTCCAACGCAATTGAAGTATTAAAAATTAATAAAAACGTTTAAATTAATTCAAGGTTTGTGCATTTTTGAACGAAATGTACTCGTGTATTTAAAAATGGGAGAATATAGTTCATACATTTTTGTAAATAGCTTAATATTTGAAAAAAAAGTAGATTTTCAACGCAATCGTAGGGATTAGTTAACGATAGTGAACAGAGAGTTCTAATAAATTAAACAAAACTAGCAATAAATATTGCAAAGCTACGCTAAGCATTCATGTTTGTTTGTTTTCTTCTTTTTTTTCTAATTTCCTGGTAGAACTTAATGAATAGCACTTTTGACTAAACTATATCGTTACAGAATAAAATTTTCGAGATAGATTCCAGGAAATGGTATGGTACTAAATTACCGTTTCATGCACGGAGTCACGCAAGGTGTATTCAATATAGTTAACCTGCTCGGTTAGTAAAATTATCGAATTATGCTTAAGAACTCACCGAATTTGTCATGAACAGAGTTATACTGTCTCTAATAAGTTTCAATTTTATACCGAAAGAAGCAGAAGCTATAAATAAAAAATTCTGGGAGTTTTTGTTGAATTAATTTAACGTTTTGCTCACAGCTGGTATACAATTGATGGTTTAGAACAGCAGGTGCTAACAAGCACCGTAGGCAAAAGGTTAAATCAATCTGATTAAAGAAAGAAAAATGATTTCGAATGCGAAGCAATGTCTCTCATTTCTTCCATAGTATATCTTGTTTTCGGAAAAAGCAAATTTCTTTTAATGAAACTATGGATGGCTCGATTGAAATTAGATGTTATTCCTGGTGGCGCTGTCATTAAAATATACCGAAAATTTTTTAAAAATAGTAAATTCTTTTATTAAATTAAAATTATAATTGACTGACATAAAATTGTAATACATCTATAGCCAGCAATTAAATTAAATCGTGGTAGATGAATTGATTTATTTTTGAAATAGATGTTATTAAAGTTTATTGCATTAGCATAAAGCCTTATTTATTTTATATGCGTACTAGCGGACTCCCTGATCGCTGCACTCACCTAATTCAAGAATTATTTCCTTGGATCTTTTCGAATCGCTACGCAATCCGATCTCGCTATTTGGATACTTCCGTATTTCAGGATACATACGCTGAGTAAAAGCATGGTCAAAACTACCTGAATATGGTAAAATTTACTGTGATTCTGTTTATATGGGAACACCAAAAACACTGCAATTTTTACCGCAGCGCTTTGGTAATGATTTTGGTTAGAGTAACAATAAAATATAGTTTTATAATCTATGTTAAAATTTTCTAAGTGTGGTAAAAATTGGTAATTTTAACATGATACCTTGGAAAATGACATAAAATCCATCTATTTGAAATTTACTTTTAACTTTTGCATTTTTACCACATGTGGGGTAATAAAAGCTATAATTTGGAAAACCAGAATTTCTGGTAATGCTTAACTCTTTAAATGAAAACCGTTACCATATAAATAGTTTAAGTGTTTTATATATTGAAGTTGTAAGTGTATTATATAGTTTAAGTATATTATGTATAGAAATGTCTTTACAATGCAGTATGGTAATTTTACCAGAACTTTTTTCTCCGCGTAATTTGGATGATTCCGTATTTTTATATAGTATTAATTATTCAAAAGACTATTATAATATTGAATAAAGGTTAATTAAATGAAATATTTCAGAAATATATTCTTCAGATATTTTGCTATTGTCCAATATTCTAAAATTTATTTTTATCTGTTTATCAGTTTTCATCAAGGATTTTCCTTGTCAAAGGAAAATAAAACCTAAAAGTGTAAAAATGTTAGTTTACGTCAAAAGTAATTTTGAAACTAAACTGTTTCCATTCCCTATAAATTATTTATGTCCGGGCATAAATTAAACGCCAAGAAATGACATTTTATTTTTTCCGTATTCAGTCAACGTGAACAATTTAATTCTGACACGCAATATATATATTTTTTTTTGTTGAGAAAAATGTGTCTTTCACTTTTCAAAATGTAGCTTGAAGGAAGGTAGGAAATATTGATGCTTTCGAAGTTGATTTATGTGCAAGACATATTTTACACGAAGCGCTTGTGACATTACTTTTATACCGGAAACATTATTACAAACCCTTCCATTAATTTGCGAAAATGTGGTTACATATTATGAGGCATTCTTGCAAAATATATTGCGCTGTTTGGAAAGTAATTTCGTTTTTGTTTTGACTTTTATTTATTTTTTTGTGAAAAATAAAGGAGATTTTCTCATGGTGAATAAATAGTTTACTGAATCATATAATTTATAATTTTATGAAAACTATTAAAAATTTAGAATGAGAACTATTAAAAATTGTTGCTCGCATAATTTTAGCTTTTATTCAGTAAAAAATATAAGTGATAAAAATAGTTTAAAAAAGTGAGATAAAAGATTACTTTAAGATTAGGTGACAATACCCCTTATTTTAAATGAATATATTGTTTTAAAACCATGTAGTACTATATTCATATTATTTTGAAAAGTATTAAGAATTGTGTAATGAAAGCTATTAAACTGTTCTTTTTCATGTAACTTAATTTTGTGAAAATAAAGAGTATTTTTTTTAGTTCAATAAATGATACATATTATCATATTATTTAAAAACTAAGCGACGATTTCATGAATAGTAAATTTAAGTAAGATTTAATTCATTATTCATTAATTCAAAAAATCTGTTACAAATGTAGTTTCAAAAAATTAAGAATTTCTACCCGTAATTTATAGCTTTCAATTAGTAAAAACTGAAAGTACGTTTTTTTTTAGTTTAATAAGGCGTCTATAATGATAGATGTTCTTATCATAATTGAATAATAGAAAGATACTTTTCATGAAAAAAATATTTTAAAAGCCTACTCAAGTAGTATTTTAAAAAGTTTTAGGATTTTTCATACAGAAAACATATCTAAAGTACATTTGCTGATCACACTGATTTTCTTTCCAGCTGTTCTTCTTAGCTTTGGAAATCATTTACAAAATTTATTTTGCACATTTCAAAGCAATAATTAAGTTATTAACAATCAAAAACTTTCATCTCAATTTTGAATATGTTACCAAGTTCTATTAATCTGAGCTTTGTTTGCTGTAAAAGATAGCTTTAATTTTAAACTTTAGTTCTTAATCTGAAACCGTAATATTTGTGTTTTAAATATCTAATATTTAAATATTACATTTAAAAATTAAAATAAAATTTTATTATTCTAAGTTTCGAAATAACTCAGTATTTTATAAGTATTTGTTTAAAAAAAAATTTATTTTCCGAATTAGAAATCATAGTCAGAGATTATTTTTTTAAAAATGATCTTTCAACTGTATTCCTGATGACGCATTTGGCGAAATTTTTGTGATTCTTTAACAAAAGTAAAATTTTTTTGCCAAAATTTAGGTAATCAGTAATTAATATCTCTACAACCAAAGCAATATTTTATTTTATTTTATAATCGTCGGTGAACAACTAACCGAATTCTCAGTTTATGACTTCTAATGTTCAATTCCGTATCCTTGCAATTTTGAACCCGATCCGGAAGACAAAAGAACTCCTGGATCAAGTATTGGGAGAAATTTGCCTGCGTGGAGGTCCTTTTGATAGAACTAACCCTCAAATGCATTGCATAGATAAGAAAACCACGAAAATCTCTCACGGTTAGCCTGACGAAAAGGGGATTCTAACCCATAATCAGTCTGGGATTTTGAATCCGGATCACCTCACTGGGAGGCGAGTGTTCTATCTCCTGAGTTACCAGGACTTAATCAAAGCAATATGGACATATTTCATGTATACTATTTCTTTACCCCCCCCCCAAAAAAAAGTTACCAGATTTGTTACTTGCCAATCAGGCCGAATTCTTTTACAGATAGTTTTTTTTTAATATATAAAATTTATTTTGTCTATTTCAAAGTCAAATTTATAAATTATTGGATACTTCGAATTTCACTTTAAATGGTGACTAAGTTCTATTCGTCACAAAATACGAAGCTCTATATTGGATTTTAAGGTTTGTTTCAATTTAGAGCATGTTAAATGATAACTATAATCTTTGCGTTTTAAGAAGCTAAAACGTGAAGGTATAATTTCATAACTAGAATAAAAAGTCTATTTTTTGGGTTTTAAATTTCAAAAGCTCACATATAACTCCGCATTTTGCGAGAATTTTTAAAACAATATCCTAATTATGGAATTAGAAATATAACGATAAATCGTTGGAAATTTATCTTTGATCATTAGTATCTTTATGCTTATACATTTTAAAAGAAATTTGTATTGCTGTAATTCATTATTACTTATTTGGTGATTTTTCTGCAATTCTTAAATTTTTTTTAGCTAATCTTATATATTCACACAATCAAAAAAAAATTTTTTTATATCGATTATTTCTTAATCTTAGAAGTGTAAGTGTTAAAAAAATTCTGTCTGATTTACAAGTGACAATTTATTGTCCTCCCTTTTTAACAAATATTTTAATAATACTCCTTGAATATATTGTTATAATGTTACTCGGTAATTGATTGACTTGAATAATAATGATTCATCAGAAATTCCATAATATTTACTTCTTTATTAATCTGAATAACTGGCAAAGATATCTTTTTGTATTGAAAACAGATAATATGCTTTATTTATGTTGAAAGTGCATATTGAGAAAAATGACTAGAATGTGTTTATAGAAATCACGTATTGAGAATATTATAGGCTTACAAACGCTAACACTCAACTAAATCAAACGAAGCGAATCAAATGATAATGGTCGCAGTTTAGAACATAAAAAAGCTACTTAAGAATTTGAAGCATTTAGTTAATGACTT